CCACTCTGCGGGGGCTGGGGACGTCAGGAAGTGCAGAACTCGGGGGTCGCTAGGGTTTGGGCTCAAGAAGGAGACGAGGGGGTGGCTGGAGCGGAGAGTGGTGTGAAGCTGGAAGAGAGAGGCATGCAGGTGGGCAGTGGTAAAGCCCCTCCTGGAAACCGGGGAGACCCTGCTTTAAGCCTACCCACTCCCCAAAGCAAAAAGCGAGCTGCCTTCTCCTTCAGGAAGCTCTCCCAGGCTGCACACCTACCCTTCCTTGCGGCCCTCAATGGGAAGAGGGACACGGCCACCACAGTCCAAGGCGGAAGTGACGTTGAGCACCCGGAGCTCCCCGGGCTCCCATAGCCCCCCCAGGCCCATGAGGAAGCGGCTAGTGGGCGTGGAGGGCAGCACCTCCTCCACGTCGTGGCTGCGCACCAGGAACTCGGCTTGGTAAGGCAGCCGGGGACCTGGGAAGCCAGGGAAGGTCAGGTGCACCCCATGGCCCTCCAACCCTCCTCCCACATCCCCTCCCCGGCACATCGTGGGTCCCAACGGCCTTCTCAGGCTGGAAGTCTGTCCACAAAAATGCCTGAGACTAGGACCCGAGTTCAGCGCCCATCCCCCCAACTGTCAATTTCTTTCCTTTTTTTAGGGTGCATGTTTTGGAGATAGGGCCCTTGTGCAGTTCAGGCTGACCTTGAACTCACTATGCAGCACAGCAAACTGGCTGCAGTTCTCCTGCCTCAGCCTCCAGAGCACTGGCTGGCATTACATCATTACATACATGCAACACAACACCCAGCTAGCAGTTTCGTGTCCTCCCTGACTTCCAAATTTCTAAGATGCCCTGATCCTCACTACTCTTCAAGCCTCTCCCTTTTCCCTCCCAAGGGAGATCCCCCAGACTGGCTTTGGTGGGGAAGAGTTGGGGCGGGGTTGGAGTACCTTCAGGATCCCCAATCAACAGCACCAGCGTCTGCTGAGTGGTGTCGAAGGTGTCCCGATTGTAGGCTGTGACCTAGGGGAAAGCAGGGACAGCTAGGTGGGTGGGGGAGGGCTGGTACCCCACCAAATAGGGACATGCAAACTGTATGTAAATGTATGCAAATTATATGCAAGGGAGCAGGAAGGGACAGTGACCCTCCCCCGGGAGGTTCTGAGGATCCCTCTGGCACCTCGATGACCTGGCGCCCACGATCTTCCGGGGTCGCAGTGCCATAGAGGAAGCCAGGTTTGGTGGGGCTGCGCTGGGTGTAGCGGAGCCACCGGGGCAGGTCCGGGTGTCCCTGGAGGTGGGCGTGGTAGGTGATATGTGTGGAAGGCAGGCCTGCTGGGGAGAGACGGGATGGGAGGCCTGGCAGACAGGAGCACCCACAAGGCACACCCCGCCCACCCTGTGCCCAGCAGGTCCCTATTACCAGTGTCCTCGGGGAGGGGTGGGAAGGTCTCATGGTCCAAGGTGTGCACAAAGACGCGGCCCACACGTGGGTGGAGGGTGGTCTGCTGGGCCTGGGCGCCCCCCAGCCCTACCGAGATACACACAGAGGCAGCCTCAGACCTGGGCAGGGGATAAACTCTTCCCCCTAGGTCCCCCAGCTCCTACAGAATGACAGCTAAGGGCCCCTTCACAGGCTCCAGGAAAGGAGGGGAGGGGTAGCTTCTGATGTGCTACCACTTTTTTTTTTTTAAGCAGGGTCTTGTTTTGTAGCTCAGGCTATCCTTGAACTCACTACGTAGCCCACGCTGGCCTTGAACTCTCAGAGATCTTCCTGCTTCAGTCTCCTGAATGCTGGGATGACGGGTGTGCGCCATCACCCTAGGCTGTGGGCTACCATTTCGATCCAGACTTTGGATTAGATTTGTGGGAGCCCCCCCCCAGGTGGAGAGAAGCTGATGTCTGGCTGGCAGGAGTGTGTGGGAGCATCTGAGGGGCTTGTGTGCATGTACATGGGTGTGCACTTGAGAAAGAGCCCCACACTGAATGTCTGGGAGAGGCTGGAGGGGCAGGGAGGGGTGGAGCACTCCAATGAAGGGTGGCCACTGTGGGACCCTAACCCGACAGGCCTTCCCTGCTACACCCAGAGGAGGAGGCCTGTGCAGCCTGGCCGAGGGGACCTGCCTGGCCACACACCCCCGCTTGGGCCAGATTTAGCCTGGCCTGAACAAAGCAGCAAGGAGCCGGCCCATTAAAGGGCCCACAACCTTCTGTGCCTGGGCCTTGGGGCCCACCCCAGGCGTAGGACACCTCCAGCCCTCGGAGCTCGCAGCC